TTAGTTATTTCTGCCTATAAATTTATTCTGTTGAATATTTAGCATAAATTTAAAGTAGGCATTTTTATTTATATACTTTGGGAGCTCTGTTTGTTACTTAATAATGCCTCTGTGGTAGCTCTTATAAGAGTAAGAATTGATTCACCTGAAATAAGGACATGTTCTTTCTACACCTACTACCTGATATTATTTGAGATCTTAACTACAATTTTATTGTAGTCTTTATGGTTAGTATTAAGGATATTCTTCTACACATGAAAAGTCACTTTTATGTATGAGAAGATGGCATTCTACATGGATGTAAAATGAACTGTGTCTGATTTGGTATGCATTATTTCAAAAACTGTGAATGTGTGTTAATAACACTACAGCAATCACAAGGTGACTATAACTTGCATTTAATGCATTACAAAAGAGGGCAGGCAAACTTTGCAGAAGACGCATATCATGTTGAGCGGTTTCATAAAAGGACAATCTTGAACTGTGTGGATTTTATTAAAACCATGTTTTGTTTTTTAAGAAATGGGATGTTGCTGTGTTGCCCAGGCTGATCTTGAACTTCTGGGCTCAAGCGAACCTCCTGCCTCAGCCTCCCGAGTAGCTGGGATCACAGGTGTGAGTAGCTGGGTTTACATGTGCACACACTGTGCCCAGCTCACGTGTCTCCTTTTGTTGCTAATCATTTGACACTTAAACAGAATAAGTTACTGTAGAAAAAAGGATGATCCAGCTCCTGAGGGTTGCTGCCTCTGTCTCTTTAATTGACAATGTTTGAAAATTAAAACCTTTTTTAGATTTTTGTTTTCCTCATACTAGATTGTGATGCTCTGATGTGAGCTCACAGTGATGATGTAGGAATGGGCTGGAGCTTTGGTGTGTGCTTTTGGTATACAACTTACAGTTCTAAGGCCTGATGTAGAGATGATGAATTTCTCCTTTTTAAGCCTATCTTGTATTTATTCCTTTTGTATTAAGAAGGCCCTCATCAATGATGTATGTCTCTGATGGGATCAGAAAATTCACACTAGAAAAATACCTAACTTGGTCTAATGTGAGCTCTCTTGGGAAGGGGAGGGGAGCAGGGGTGGAGCTTCAGAAGCCAGCTCTGCAGGAGTTGTATATCGAAGTACCTTTCCCTGCCAGGTGCATATAGGAGTCAAAGGTAAGACGTTTACCCTCTATACTTGGTGTTTAATGCCCCTATCATGTTTGGTGTGCCTTAAATCTTACCTTTAAATGAAGACTCTATGGATTGTTTACAGATGAAGTTTTACACTAGGACCAGATCGTCCATGACTGGCTGGTCTTCTACAGTAATAATGTTAAATTCTCTTCCTTTTAAATCTTCCTATAGGATTACACAAAGATTGATACTTTCAGAAAAGCTAATGCTTTGGTACATGACTTAGTCTAACCAATTGGGCAATGCTGCTTCAAAAAACAATTTGTCCTTCTCCCCATTCCAAAAATAAACCCATCCAATCAGAAAAAAAAGAGATTGCCCTACTGTTTGTAGTCGATTGCTCAGGCTTGAAATGGGGAAGGGGGAAGAAGGGATAGAAAAGCTCCAAGTCCAGTGGTGCAGTGACTCCTTTGTGTTTGAGTCTTTTTTACACTTACTTCTGAAGCTAGTGGACTGTCCTTGTCCCGTGGCCTCATATTTATAGAGCTTCTTAACTGTTTGTGTACCTCACGTTGTTTTTACATATCAGTGAAGATTGAGACCTACGAATTATGTTGGATTTAACCTTTTTCCCTTGGATAAATTGCCTCCGATATCTTTTAAACCTAATTTTAGTGTATTCTAGAAACAGTTTTCCTTAAGAGGCAACTTCTCAGCGATCATGGTAGTTATTCAGTACGAAATAACTGTTGTGAAGCAAGTACGTGTATGTCCTGTCCTCTGATTTCTCTGACTCTGATTCCTTAATTTGCAGTGATGTCTTAGAAATAGAAAAAGTATCCTCTGGACTTTTAGATTCAGCAACAGCCAGTGGGGCACCTCTAGGTTCTGGTGTTTTCTAGTCTCTCGTGTGTCCTGAAAGGCAGCAGGAGTATTTCTCGGGTCACACTGATACTTTGGTAAAGTGGGGTTTCCTGCGTGTTTTTGGTGCTGCTCTATGAGATATTTCTCTTTAAAATGGTGTTAACTCTTGGAGAATGAATTTTTTAAGCTTTTCATTGTGGAGGGTTTTTCCCACAACATTGTAACGGGCGGTGGATCAAAGTCCTGTTCTAAATAACTGAATTTTCACTGTTGAAGCTGTGGAAATGCTACTCCCTCTCCCCATGTCTGTCTCCTCAGATGCTCTGTCTGTGTTGTCGTCTGCTCTAGCACATACTCTGGACACCTTTACAGGTGACCGTTTCTCCCTGCTCAGTAGGTGTCCTCAGTGTTGTCTAACCATTTAAAACTGAATTTGACAAGTGGCTAAAATCCTAACTTAGTCTGAGACTTGTTCTTACTATATAGTTAATTATAGAAATAGCAACCACCTTAACAATTAATCTGCTGACTGCTCTTTACGACCACACTTGTTTGCCAGGAGGCAGCATGCTGCACCACTGGACTCTTGACAGGCAGCCGCCGGCCCGACCGTGGTGGATGCGGTTGTCCTAGCAGTCTTACCGGGCGGGCTGTGGGGAGCTCCCTCTCCGGGCGATTCCGCTCTCCCAGCTCAGTCCAGGCCCAGCTGGCTGGAGAGCATCCAGCCCGTTCCTTGCCTCAGTGCCACCCTTTCCTGGGCAAGTAGCCAAGAAGTGACTCTGAGCACTGAGTACTTCAGATAAATTTACAGCTATAGCTGCCGAAGAGTGGAGAAGGTTGACCACCACTGATTCAGTTCTCCAACGCAAAAGCAATTCAGAGTCACGTGTGCACGCGCGCCCGTGTTTCGGGGGCTTTCGCACTGGTGGGTCCACAGGCATCTGGGCTGCACTTTGAGTGTCACGCTTGTGGCTTTATTAGATTCACTGTTTTTTTAAAATCGTTGTTCGTTTCTTTTCATTCAAGGTTTAATCAGCTAGATCAGACAGCATCATTTTGTATTTAATGACAGAAACTTTGGTACATTAACCGTTAATGAACGAGCTCGCATCGTTGAAGCAAGAGCCTGCGGAAGGCACCCGTTACAAATGACAGTGCTGGCTCTGGAGGCCAGGGCTGTGGGGTGTCAGAGCAGCCAGTGGTTGTTCAGTCAGTGACGCCTGGTTGTGGAGAGGAGGGTACGCTGTGCACTCTTCCAGGTGTGAGGGCATGCAGCTTTGGATCTTAAAATTATGTACACATACACACTCTATATATATGTATGTATGTATGAAAACATGAAATTAGTTTGTCAAAAATGTGTGTGTTTAGTATTTTAGCTTAGTGCAACTATTTCCACATTATTTATTAAATCTAAGACACTTTCTTGTTGACACCTTGAACGTTAACGTCCAAGGGTGCAATGTGTATTCCCTTAGATCGTTAAACCTTAATTACTATGATTTGTAGTAAAATAACTTTAAAATATATTTGAGTCCTTCTGTAGTGTAATAGGGCTCTTACAGGGTGAGAAGGATTTTAATTTTCCAGTTGCCAATTGAACAAAATGGCCTCGTTGTGTATTTTGATTTATAGGAGTTTGTGTCTGGGTTCCGGGAACATCTACTGCGGATGACTGTTTCAGGCATTGTGATGATATTTTTTTAAAAACCTGAGTAACTTGGGGAGCCAGAGCATTTCAAATCTGTATGGACTCCTATAACTCATATTCCCTAATATATGGAACACAGGTTTCATTTTAACTTTATGTATCAGTGTGTTGGAGAGGCAGACTTTTTTCCAGTAGTAATATTGTACACCTCAGGTTGCTAGTCAGTAAAATCAATTAAAGAGCTAATTATTGAATGGCTTGGAATATGTAGTGACAAAAGACCAAATTCTTCATGTTTGTGAGCGTATCTTTCACATACTTGCACATTTTAGACTTCCAGACCCTAAAACCAAGCTAGAAAATGACAGGAAATAAATTGTCAGTAGTTGGTAAGGTGAATGCTAACCTTACTAAACTCCTATTCACGTGAAACCCTGTGGTTAATTGAAAAGAACTTGCTATCTCCAGAAGAGGGAGAAAGAGTAACCATCTCTTAACGGAATTTGGTCGCAGAATAAGGGATTGCAGTTAAGTCTAAAGCAAGTCTCAGAGAGCTCTAAGCATCGTGAAATAGCAGCCTCGGCGGCCGTCACGTAAAGAAGCTGACTTTCAGGATTGTCAGCATTGACTGCTCTCCTCGCCACCATTGCTCAGCTAAGCGTAACTTTTGCCATTCTTAAAACAAAAACAAAAAACAAAGCTTTCCAAATGAATGTGGAAAAGCTCCTACCCAGAAATTCTAGTAATAGTTAGTTTTGACCTCTTACTGCTTCCATGCGGGGTTTCTTTTCAGCTTTTAACCATTGGAATTTTCTACCTGTTCCTCTCTGGAAACTATATTTGGAAATGCTGCCTTTCAAGTCAACGCCATGATTATCCATACTCGTCGGGTTTGTTGTTGCTGTTCAAGAAGTGTCCCCATCTCACAACTTCAGGCACACACCTGGCAGATGACTGACGTTCGCGTTCAGCAGTACTGGGGTGGGGGGCTCACCGACAGAGCTGGCGCCGCCCTCGCGGGCCCGCGGCGCGGTTGGTAAGCACAGTCACGAAAATTTCTATCTAGCCTCCATTTTGAATGGTTTTAGGAAATTTTGTATATGGAGGATGGAAATACTTATATATTTATTGAAAATCCTTTTATCTTATTTGACATTAAAATTATTTGGTAAATAATGGTTTGCTATTTGGGGAGGGTTTTGGAGGGGAGGTAATGCCACCGATAAATTAAAAGCCTGTTGATTCTGCGGAAAGGTACTGTCCATGACCGATAGGATGCCTTTGTTTTGTACATGATCCAAATCTTTGTTTTACATTTCTTTTACCCAAAATATTTAGGCATCTGACATTTTTCAACCAAAATTTCAATTATATACTGTGATTTTTATTTGTTGCAATACATTAAAATTTCAGAGGTACTTTGGGGCTCAAAAGCTAGGATTTCTAAGTCAGTATGTGCATTTCACACGATAAAGCTGTTGCCGGTGAGCAAAGTATTATGTACTAGCTAGATTTTTCCACATCTGTATAGTATATTATATGTATTTTGTGGTATTGAAATTATAGAAAGTTTAGAGTGTCAAACATGCGTTTAATGTGTATTTTTAAACGAATTTATGGCAATTAAAATATTTGGAGACAAGGGTATCACATTTCAATTTGTAAAGATCTTTTTAACTCTACCGTGTCATTAAGATGCTTTGTATAATGCCAAACCATAGCTGGAGAAACTAAGTTTAATAAATATCAAATAGATTTTCTGTATTAAAGTTTATAAACACTGTGCTCTTCACACTTCTTCAACTCTCCCTTTGCCCTTTTTCATGCACCTCCTGCTGTGCATGCAGGGTCCAGCAGGGTCCAGCAGGACTCTTCTCTGAGAGTCTGGTCCCACCAGCCCAGGTCTCATTTTCTGATACAGAAATTCTGAACTCGCTGGCCACGGGTCCTTGCGCACGTATCAGAATTTGCCCTGCTCCAGCAGAGATCTCAGATCCTCACTGGTGTTCGTGGTGGCTTGAGCGTTTATTGTCTCATTAAACTAGATTTTTCCCAGCTCTGCCTCACGTTGAGACGGTCGCAGACAAACGTGGGCACTTCATTAGGTGGCAGGCGCCAGCCCCGCCCACCTCAGGGACTCGCCAGGGCCCATGGCGCAGCCGCTGCTAGACTCACCCTCACCCCGCTTGCCAGACTGAGACGCTAGCACGTTGTCACTGGGCAATGCTGGCTTCTCTGTAGTATACCAAGTGAATCCTTCCCCCCAAAGTTCGATCCCAGACTGCCAGAATTTCAATTTGAGACATTTAATAATATCCATAGAAAAATAAACTCTAACTTGACAAGTTTAGTTATGCTTATCCACATATCAACATTCTAAGAAGAAATGGAGACTTATTTCAAGCATATGTCTGTCTTTAAATATTAAAAACACAAGATCGCTTCACTTATGGGTCTCCAGGCAAAATGCAGTCAGTCAGCATTCCAGAGAACGGAGCATCGTTGCAGGTGCTGTCGTCGCTGCTCCCCTCGAACGTGCGTCATTCCTGGGCCACACTTAGGGAACAGCGTCTCTTTCTAAGGGAGAAGCAAAGGTGGTTTTTAATGGGGTCTGGGAGTGACCAGGGAGGGCCACCTCTGCTGCATTCCCTTCTCTGCTTGCTCTGTCCAGTCTCGGGGAAAACCAAAGAAAGGTACCATTCTTTCGTGGCACCCGCGTAGGGCTGTTCTTGGCTCTTAACTCCTGGAGACTCTCCACGGAGCTCCTCGCCTTAGGCCAGGCGCTCCCCCGTCCCAGCTTTACCCTGAGGTCTGGGAGTCTCCCGATCACTCCGGCCCAGCTTCCCGGGGCTCTCCGGCCCAGCCCTGCTGCGGGGCTTGTGGAGTTACCTGCACAGCCTTGTCATGCACTCAGAGTCGTCCCGGCAGGAGGCTCCGATGGGCCTGAGGGAAACACCTCTCCAAAAAGGGGTCATTCTCCGTACCCTCCTTTTTACTGAGCTCTGTTCTGGTATTGGGTTGCCTTCTATCTGTAGGGCAAAGCCAAATTCACCGCGGATAAGGAGGAGTGGACACCATGCACACCTTGATGAATGATCATTCCCAGGATGCTGTAGACTCAGCAGAGGAACATTCCCCAGAACCGAGTCGGCTCTCGAGTTCCACGTACAGTCCCACCGCCCCCAGCCCCGCGCCCCGCACCCCGCACACGCGCTGTCCTCACCTGGCCCAGCAGCAGCAGACAGATCATGAGCAGCGCACAGAGCTTGAGGTGCCACATCTTGACGGAGGGAGGATGTGGGAGCCTTAGAACGAGCGACAGTCCCCACTGCCTTTTATAAGCTGGCACCACCTCTTCGTGGTTGCCGGGTGAGATGGGGGCAAAGTTTATATTTGTCAGCAGGGTGGATTTAATAAGTTAATGTCTACCGGAGGACTGTGTCCAGCGCTGCCTTGCAGGCACTTTGTGCTTACTGATAACTCACCTGGACTTTGAGTGACTGTGTTGCTGGCCTGGACCTTCGCAGCCACTTTACCATAAGTCAGCACTGCCCTCCTTCCCTCCGAAAGCCACGTGAAACCACTGAGGGAGGCCCGGCCACTGGCCACGTTTCTATTCCAAAATAGCTCAGTGAGATCACGCTAATAAAAATAGAATTCTCATAAGGAAGTCTTCAGACATGCCGTTGACCTCTTTCAGCCTTTTCGGGAACGAAGCGCTGATCTGCGTACAGGCAGCTGGTTAAGGCCCTTGCCTTCCTTCGTGGGAGGATGCTTCGGCAAACCGCGCCTACGGTTCCCCAGATCCTGCACGTGCAGAGGTGGCCCGTCACCCCAGTAGGACGAACACCAGCTGTGGAAACTTCAGAGTCTGCCCGGCTGCCCTCTCGCAGGGCAAGGGCAGTGCCGCAAGTGAATGAATGATCATAGGCTGGCTTTTGCTTCTCGTGTGAGTGAGGAGGTGGCAGGATCTCCTAAATTAGTGGGAGAGCTTAGGACTTCGGGAGTCCTAAATAGTGACAATATGATAAATAATAAACTGGGCTGTCTTTCCAGTCGTTGACCGGGACCTTATCAGAGCCTTTCCTTCCAGCAACCTCAGGGGAGCAAGCATCGGGCTGAGATGTCTTCAGAGTGGCAAACATTCATCAGTTTAGGTGGGAATTACTGCGGATTTCTAGACCAAGGGAGGACATGTATCTACACCATGAGTAGTTATAGGTACTCATTAAATGCCATGGGGATTTTAATAAGTTTTGGGGGACAGGCATGAATTTTGAGTAAGGAGATTCATGGGACTTTAATCTTCCTGTCACCTGGAAGGATAACAAGCCAAGACAGATGCCTCTCTGCCTGGTGTCTCCCTGAACTTGGCTAATACCTCTTCCCAAGGGCCTTCTCATCATCGCAGGTTGGACATGAGTAAGAGCCTCCTGTTGCTTCGCCACAGGGAAAGTGGATGAGCTGAGCACAGCTGAAGGCAGAACACGATGGTCCCTAATCCGCTGCCGGGCAAACGGGGAGCTTCTTGCCAAGGGAGAGGATGGTATGACGGACCTCAGAGCTGGGGTCGTGCAGATGTGACTCCACAGAGCTGACTGTCCTGGTTCTGGTCCTCTCAGGACCATGGAGTCAGGCCTGGAGGGGGACACCACTGACCGCACTTTGGGAACATTGAGAAGAGACCTGTGACAGATGCCAAACCCAACTAGCCAGCCCTGCAAGTTCCAGACTGGTTAGCTGCTCTGTCCCTTCACCCCTGAGCTTGGATACTGGATGATCCCAGGTAGGGGCCTAACTAGGAACTTTTGCAGGGTGGGGGAGAGGCTGCGCAGTGACCTAGTGAACATTGGGTAAGAACACAAATGTGATGAGATAAGCAAAAGACTTAACAACGTGATGTCCTAGAGCCAGCTGGGTCTGTGGACTCAGTGCCAGCCTTCCCTCAACCAGCCTGGATGACGTGGCAAATGGAAACTGCTCATCCAAAAGACGGGTACTTCTCGTCCTCCATTTCTGCCGTCTTGTACTCCAGACAAAACCAAACTAGTCTTTTGTGTTAGTTTGTAAAGCCAGTGCCACAGTCAAGGAAAGAGCCGAACGCCCTGGGCCCCCAAACCATGCATCCTCGCCGGTGCTGCAACACTGAGAGCCCTTCGTGGGTCAGGCCTCCATCTTGTACGGCCCCCCTTTCCCCAAAAGAAAAAACCATTAGTTATCGTCTGTGGAAGGACCCACTGTTAGGGAAAGCATTTCAGCATATGTCCACATGAACTTCGTAGTTATTGCATTTAAATTAAATATGGAGCAGGCATCAAACTTACAGAAGCAAAGAATCATCCGGGCAGCACTTAGATTGGCAGCCGCTGTCCACAGCCAGCCCACACTTGTTTTTTGAGACGGTCTCACTGTCAGCCAGGCTAGAGTGCCGTAGTGTCAGCCTAGCTCACTGCAAACTCAGCCTCTTGGGCTCAAGCGACCCTCCTGCCTAAGCCTCCCGAGTAGCTGGGATGACAGGCACACGCCACCACTCCCAGCTGATTTTTTCTATTTTTAGTAGGGATCAGGGTCTTGCTCTTGCTCAGGCTGGTCTGAGCAATCCTCCTGCCTCAGCCTCCCAGAGTGCTAGGATGACAGGCATGAGCCACCATGCCCGGCCATCCCATACTTCTTGATAGACTATGAAGGCCTATTCCTGAAATTAGAAAAAACGAAGTGTTCTCTGCAATCAAGCATTTTGTTGAATGAATAAACACACAACTACATGCTCCTTCCTCCAGCAGAAAGACCTAACCAGCCTTTCACAGTTCAGCCGTAGAGAAAGAACGCTTGGCTGGGAGGCAGCAGCTTCGAGCAACTGACCGCAGGCCAGCCCTGCCCATCCTTGCGCTTCAGTCTCCTGTTCTGTCACTGACATGGGAGCAGATCTCAGGCCTGTCAGGCACTGACACTTGGGGGTTCAAATGATTAATTTACAAGAAGAAAATGAGACTGAAGCAGGTTTGATAGCTGAGGGCTTGGCAACTCCAGATACAGCTTGCAGGGATTGTCTGCTTCTGAGCTCAGTGCCTAGGATGAAACAGGAGAAAAAGGGCGCGGATACACGAGCAGCTGTTGGAAACACACTCCAGGCAGAGAGATCATTAGGACTTGGCAGTAACTGGAAACTTTTTTTTTGTCCCTGAGCAGGAGGTGGCTAATAAAAGATGAAAGACTCTGAAATGGAGAAACTTTTCCTGGTAAAATTTCAACGAAGGGTCAAAGTGTATTTACTTTTTTGCTGGCTGGAACCGGCACAGACTTTGGGGCCTGCACTACGTAGGCCTGCACCTGGGGAACTGTGTTGGCCAACTGAAGAGAGAGCTCCTTGCACAGACCGTGCAGCCCATGAATAAAAGTCCCTGTGTGGGCAGGAGCCCGTGGTTGAGCCACAGCCAGGCTGGAGGCTCCAGGTGGATGGTTCTAGGCACTGAGGCCCACAACAGCTGCCCTTCCTTAACGGCCTCACTCAGGGTCTCCTTTGTAGATGTCTGCAACTACAATGGTCCCTAAAACGATCCCAGATCCCGTATCACATACAGGAGCACTGAGCCAGGGCGACTCACGTTTCACACTTGCAGGTGAGACCCGGCCCCCGGGGCTTGAAGAAGGAAGCCCCCTGATGAGAAACAGGCTTAACGTGGCCTTTAATTTTGGCCAGAGAAGCTCAGCACATCAAAGGGCTTGCGGCAGCCTTCTCAGGAGAGCACTCCTGGAGTGAAAAGGATTCAGACCAACAGGCTCAACGCCTGGTCTGGGCTGAGAAAGGTGTTGGATTCTTTTGAGCTGGCGTCTCCAAAGGGGTCGAACCAGGGAGAAACACTCTAAGGGCAAAACATGACCAGGGGGAAGATGAGAGCAGGCAGCTACCTGCCTAGGAAGCTTGGAGCAAAGATCAGAAAGACCCCGAGAAAGACCGGGGCCTGTCAAAGCAGTGGTCCCCCCGGCCTGCGAACCTTTTGAAGCTACGCGAGGTAAGGATGGGTCCACAGTTTTCATCAGATTCTCAAAGGAGTCTATGACCCAAGTATGTTACAAGACCTGGGAATAAATCTGCACAAAGAGCCAAACAGGAAAATCGGACTGTCTACAGGGGGAGGCGGGAGTGTTCCTCAGCCCACTGCCCCCTGGGAAGCCCGCCCCACCGTGCTGGACACACGGCACTCGCTGCGCCATCGCGGCCCGAGAACTCCGCGTCACCATTCCTAGTCCACGGACGAGAAACTTGGGGCTCAAGAATGCAGGTTTCTCGCCTGGGTCCCAGCGAGGACGGGACCGTTTAAGGGAGCGGGCCCAAGATCACCAGAGTGAGCACCTCCCCGCCCCACCATCCGGCCTCAAAACGAATGCAATTTATCTTACGCATTTTTGTTGTTTTGAAGTATTTTACTCTGGGGTCTTAGAAGGCCGCAGCAACCATTAGAAGTGAAGATACAGCGCGAGCCAGACCGAAAGCTGCTGCTAACAGGAAGTAGCCGCAGAAGAAAGTTTCTAAAACTGGATCCAGGATTCCATCTCCTATCGCGCACAGGAGCACCGAGCTGTGACGCGCAGCGCATCCCCAAGCCCACCGCCGCGGCATCGCCGCCACAGGCGAGACTCCCGCCCCCGAGCTTAGAGAGGGGAGCTCAGCAAGGGACTGGAATAAAATTGCCAACCACATCATCTCAGTGAAGGGGTGAACTTTCCTACCAAAAAGATAATTCAAAGGCTCTAAGCAGGAGTGAACTTTCTCGAAGGGCCAGAGGAAATATTTTAGGCTCTGTGGACCACGTATGGTTAGAGACCATTGCTGGCTCCCCGGTATGAAACAGGAAACGGATCCCCTGTAGAGGCACGGGGATCGCCTCGCCCCTTCTCCGGCTGGCTGGACCCCAGGCCGAGGCAGGACAGGCAGCATGGCAGGGCGCTGACTGCACACCGTAGTGCAGGACCCCGCCATCCACGGCGGTGTGACTTTGGGCAGATTACTTAACCTCTGTGCCTGCTTCCTCATCTGAAAAATGAGTATAATGATACTTCAAAGGTCGCTGTGAGGTTTAAGAGTTCATTTGTACGGCTAAGAAGAGTATCTGACACGCAGTAATTACAATGTAGTTACTAGACTTTATTGTTGTTACGGGAGCAGAGGGCCACAAACCACTCCTCCCGCAGCCCGGGCCACCCGCAGATGGTGACCTGCAGCAGCCGCAGCTGCGTTTTGTGGATTACAGAGCCGAGGGTGAGCTCTGCTCCTTCACCGAAACCTCAGCCTAGGGAAGACTGTTCGGGACCCACGCGGAGGAGGGGAGCGTCACGCACTTAAACCACAGCCGTCACACCAAGGATTCCACTCACAAAAATGTAAAGTCACAGCAGTGCTGCCCATGCAAGTTTATTGCGTCTTCAAGACACCACGACGCAGACTCCTCTCCCAGAGAAGGACCCTCCCGGTTTCAGGGACGGGGAGACGCTATCCAGAGAGGAGCTCACTTGTCATTTTCGTAGGCAGCTGGATTCTTCCTCTTGGATTTCTCGAACTCCTCGGTCCCCCACGTGTAGACAAGATAAAACACCACGAATGCTTTAAAGATCAAAAGTGAGAGTAAGCAGTGTGTAAGTAAAACACAGGGAAAAAACGTCTCCGTCCTCTTTTCTGACAACAGAGTCTGCCCTACTGCTCTCTGGCTTTCAAGAAACCGCTTTAGAACCACGGGGTCAACAAGGGCCGCATCGCACACCCATGGGATCAAAAGGAAGGGTCCACCCAGGAGAACGTGTCACCAACTGTTCCCCATCTCTCCCCGGCTACACGTTAAAATAATTTAAGTTAAATAACCGAGATAAAATTCACATGACATAAACGTCACCGTTTTCAAGTGTCTATTCAGTGGTTCTTAGCGCGCTCACGAGGCCCCGCAACCACCATCACTACCAGCTCACCCTAAAACCGTTTCACCCCTGAAAGGAAGGGGATAAAGGTGACCTCAGGGAAGACGCGGGAGTCACCCCCGCGACCTGAGCCCAGTCACTGCAGTTCTGTGACTCAGTTTCCCCCTAAGATGCGGAGGACGCTACGACTAGCACGGGGCCGTCAGGAGTATTTAACGAGACAGGGGCTGCGGTGGCCGCTGCCGTGCAGGGGAGCCCCGCCGCCCCCCGCGCCAGGCCCGGGCACTCACGCGGCGCCACGCGCAGGGCGGACGCGCGAATGCGGCGCAGCACGTTGGGGATCCCGCTGGAGAAGTAGTGCGGGAAGGCGCGCTGCTCGAAGGGGGACAAGCTGTAGGAGATCACATGGCGCATCCGCGTCAGGTTCCCAAACTCGCGGCCCATCGCGGCGGCGGCCCTGCGGGACCGAGGGACGGAGACGCGTTTGGCTCGGTCCGGGGACGCGCGGGGTCCGCCGCCCCGGGTGCCCGCCCTGCCACCCACCGCCAGCACCCCACCGCCGACCCCGCGCCCGCACCGGGGTCACCTCGCCCTCCGCAGTCGCGCGAGCACCGGCCTCCGTCCGTCACTTCCGGCAAGATCGGAAGCCGCCCTTGGAGGTCGTGAGATCGCTTCCGGGGGAGACGCCCTGGCGGTTCCGGAGAGAAGTGGCCTGGCCGGTGTCCCGCGGTGGGCGGTGGCCTGGAGGCCCCGCCTGGCCCGGGTGCGGCCCGGCGGGGACGGCGCGGGCTCTGGGAAGGGACCGGCCGCCCGGCGCCCAGGCGCTTCAGCCCCTGGCCGTTCTGGGGAGCCCCGGGCGGGACGCGGCCGCGTGAGGGGGGACAAAGGGGCCGAGCTGACCGGGCGGAGCCTCCGGCCCGCGAGTCCTCCCCGTGGAGCGCGCCGTCCCCCAGCTCAGAACGCGAGGCTTTCTTGCGTCTTGACCGGTAGCCGGAAGGCGGCTCGGCTATGTTGAGGCCATCGACGACGCCAGCACCAAAATCAGGGACACAGACGTAAGGCTTCTCTTGGTAACCTCCGTTAGAATCCACTGGCGGGCTGTGAGCTGTTCCAAGATAGGGTACAAACGTTTCCTCAGATTCAGCCACAAAAGCCGTCAAATAATCGTCAAGCAATCGATTAACACTGTGGGTGATCGTAGGAGGGAAGATGAGGCCACCTCAGTAGCAGCCGGCTTCCCGCCCCCGTGGTTGTCCCGGGCGCGGGCGAGTCTCACTGCGCCCCCGTTCTTTCCGGCCGAGGAGCGTCACGTGTGACCCGTCGTCGTTTTCCCCAAAGTGCAGCTCTGCGCCGAGACGCTGTCGTCCAGCAACAGCTGGGTTTCCAGTGCTCGGTGCCGTGTCTACACGGTTTAATGGCCTTGCGGCCATGTGCAGTCTAGGACTCAGCTCTCATCCGGCGGTCTGTGCGTTTGCTGATGCTGCTTACTGGCCACAGACCGGGGAGATCGGACAGGCGGGGAACTCAGTATTTTGCAAACACACCTCAGTTTTATCAATCTAGGTACTGCGTAAACCGGTTTTGTGTCGTGTACTACTATGGGTGTCGCTTGACTTTCTTCCAGCTAGTAGTCTCCTTCGGGGCGGCCCTCATTTCAGTTTTTCCTGGTGTACCTTTGCCTCATTTTTCTAAAATGTAGGTTGGTACGAGTGCAGTGGTGTTTACAACTAATTGATCACAGCCGGTTACAGATTCCTTTGTTCCTCCTCCATGCCCACTGCTTCACTTGACCAGCCTTAAAAAAAAAAAAAAATATATATATATATATATATATAAAAATAAATGTAATATCTAGCCTGGCCTCAGCAACAAGGCAAGAACATAAATACTTGTAACAGGTAAGGACAAAATACCATAGCATGTTCTACCACCATTTGGGTGATTCATAAAAAATAAAGCATTCATTTATTTTATAGCACCAGCAAACATCTCAAAACCTTTCAACCAAGATGTATCTAGATAAGTATACAGACCAAAGTAAGGAAATCATGATATTATATTTTTGGCCAAGGTTAAAGGCGATGCCCTTTTCAAGCAGATTGCAAATACACTTGCGATATTGCAGGTCCATAGTCTATATTAAGCCACCTGGGAGGACTTAGCAACCTGACAGTTCTCTGCTCTCTATGCAATTGTGACTTTCTCTCGCCCTTCAAGTCAACGTGGAGTAAGTAATTATTCTAAGCACCTGGAACTGGGAGAGGTGGTGAGGATGAATCAAGAGGAAGAGTAAATCTAATACCAACAATTGCATACCACATCTGAGTATCATCATGAATAATTGGGTAGCTTTTCCACATGTCTTAGAAGTTCAGCAAGCACCTAAGAAACATTTTAGGGATCCTAATTTCTCTCAAAAGAAAAATAAGAGGTTTTATTTTAAGATCATTCCTTAATTTCTCTTAGACTTTCAGCTACATAGCTAGTCTGTTAGTATAATGATAATTTAACAGGTTTTAAGTAAATGCCTGGGGTGGGGAAAAGGTACAGGAAAGCTACATAACCAAATAAATCTGTATGTAATGAGGGCAAATTGGCTAAATAGGGTGTTACCAGCTGTTTGACGTAGAGCCGATAAAAATTGCCTTCAGCTAGGCATCCTTGAGGCCTGATTACAGAAGTGACGCTAGTCTGCCCACACCCCTAAAATTTATTTAAGAGAGCAAGCCAGGGTCTTCCTGGCCTTTAGGAAGAAGACTGGCATGGGGAAATGTGTTCCTCCCTAGTTCTTACAAGCCATGGCGCTTTCCAGCAAGTTCCTCCTTTGGTTTTGCTGTTGTGCCTGGCTATGCGTTGCTAGTAGCCTTGGTTCTCAGGCTTCTAGGGGAGAAGCTCAGATTGCAGCTAGTGCTGAGTTGGAATTTGAGGCTGAGCCTTGGTCCTCGCTGCAGCCTGTAGATGGGAAAGACCCATCTGGCCTCCTTCCCCCTCTTTTCAAAGTCCTATCTGATGGGCCAGGTGGGGCACCTAGGCTGCAGCCGGACTCCAGAGCCTTGCTCTACATGAAGAAGCTCTATAAGGCATATGCTACTAAGGAAGGGATTCCTAAATCCAGTAGAAGTCACCTCTACAATACTGTTCGGCTCTTCAGCCCCTGTGCCCAGCACAAGCAGGCTCCTGGACACCAGGCGACAGGTGTGTAAGAGTGGTTAACTGAGTGGAGGGAAAATGGTAGAAGATGCTGCGTTTCAGTTACAGAAAGGAGCTGGGCCTAGCTCCTTGAACTGCATTTTATTTTGCTTGGTACTCAGTATCCAATAGAAACAAGTCTGGTACTCAGTCTTCCTGTTTCTTCCTAATGCCGTCATTGGTTAAGGTGGGCTAATGTGATAGGATTTTAAAGCTATGAGAGACTTAATGGCTTGGGAAGGCCTAGGCTGGAGGTTGACGTCTCTTTCCGTTCCACCAAGCTGTTGGCCCAGAAATGTGCCTAAAATATCTCTCATGGCTGTTGGTGTGCTTTGTTAATCAGTATATTTTCTCCTTGTTTGTAGCTTTCTGTGAGAGGAAAGCTTAAGTCCCCATCTGGAACAGTGGGTCATTACAAGAGCAAAGTTTAGCGCTTTGACTCAGCAGCTTGGTGTCTTGTATGTGTGAGAGGATCCTGCTTTAAAAAATCCTACACTCACTAGCTTATGATTTAAAAAAATCATTATAACCCAACAGGGCTGTTGTGGCTGTTTAAAACCCTTCCTCCTTACTTAATATCCTGTTTTATTAGAGTGGGTTTAGAGCATCTGTTTTCAATCTCAAATGTTCTAAATTAACTTGGACAATTAAGTTTTTTTAATTGCCTTCATTCACCAGGGCTTAGGATGTCATCTTAACAAGACCGATAAATGTTTTTTATGGTTTTCCCTCTAGAATGTCTCGAAGAGAAAAATACTTTCCTTATTAGTCTCCTCTGTTTGGAGCAAATTATTAGGAATGAAAGAATCTTCAGGCTGGGTGCAGTGGCTCACACCTGTGATCCGAGCACTCTGGGGGGCTGAGGGCCGGGGGTGGGGGATGGCCTGAGCTCAGGAGTTCGAGACCAGCCTGAGCAAGAGCGAGACCCTGTCTCTACTAAAAATAGCAAAGTTAGCCAGGTGTGGTGCGCACCTGTAGTCCAGCTACTCGGGAGGCTGAGGCAGGAGGATCGCTTCAGCCCAGGCGTTTGAGGTTGCTGTGAGCTACGACGATGCCACTGCACTCTAGCCAGGGAGACAGAGCGAAACTCTATCTCAAGAAAGAAAGAAAGAAACTTTAGAATATAATGATTCCTTGTTGCTTTAATTCACCACCAAATCTGACTTTCTGGAGATAAAATGTCCAGTGTGGTGCTGGGAATTAGTTATGTTCTTTTCATGTGAACCCCGTCCTCCTCTCGGGGACTGAGGAGGCAGGGGTGGGTGGAGAGAAGGGAGAAATATCATGAAGTGCCAATTCCTTGACTTCTGTAATGTTTGATTCATATTCAAGCACGACTGGTGGATTGTTTTTCTTCGCAGGAATCCTTCCGTCAGCGGACCTGCTGTTTAACCTGGACCGTGTTACTGCTGTCGAACACTTACTCAAGTCAGTCTTGCTGTACACCATCAACAACTCGGTTTCTTTTTCCTCTGCTGTCAAATGTGCGTGCGACCTGCTGATAAAGGAGCCAAAGTCTTCTGGCAAGAATCTCCCTGGAGCTCCACACTCCTTTACCTTTAACTCGCAGTTTGAATTCGGCAAGAAGCACAAATGGATCGAGGTTGATGTGACCCCCCTCCTTCAGCCTCTGGTGGCCTCCAACAAGAAGATTGACATGTCTGTAAATTTTACATGCACGCGAGAGCAGCAGCGGCAGCCCTCAGCCCGGGACAGCCCGTTTCACATGGCTCTGCTGGCGCCGCCCTCGCTGATCTTGTATCTGAATGACACGAGCGCTCAGGCCCATCACAGCTGGCACCCCCTTCACGGCGCACGGAGGCCTGCGCAGGGCCCCGACCAGAAGAGCAAGCTGGCTGCCTACCCCGTGGGGGAAGAGGCTGCTGAGGACGCGAGGATTTCCCGTCGCCGGAGAGGTCAGGAACCTGTCATCTCCGAATTGAGGAAGCCCCTGGTTCCAGCTTCCCGCAATCTGAGTGAATACTTCAAGCAGTTCCTTTTCCCCCAAAACGAGTGTGAGCTCCATGACTTCAGACTGAGCTTCAGCCAGCTCAAGTGGGACAACTGGATCGTGGCCCCGCGCAGATACAACCCCCGGTACTGTAAGGGGGACTGTCCGAGGGCAGCCGGGCACCGGTACGGCTCTGCGGCCCACGCCTTGGTGCAGAACATCATCCACGAGACGCTCGACCCCTCGGTGCCCAGACCCTCGTGTGTGCCTGCCAGTTACAGCCCCCTGAGCGTCCTGACCGTCGAGCCCGATGGCTCCGTCGCTTACAAAGAGTATGAAGATATGATAGCGACCAGGTGCACCTGTCGCTAACAAACGGCGCTCCGAGCGGAAACCTGGAGGCTGTTTGAGTAAGTCAGTGTCGTGTGCCTGTCTGTGCCTCCAGGGCAAACGGTGTCAGAGCTCTCGGCGAAATGCGTGGGCCTGCGCAGATCAGTACGTTCTGTGACACCTGTCGGTGTGAAGGGAAAACGCCAGTTGTTGCTGCTGAACCTTTATTTCCATTACTTTGGACAGCTTTGAATTTTTTTCCCTGGCCTTTTTTTCAGAGGAGTCTTATTCTTGATGGAAAAAAATTCTTAGCCTAAATCTTAGAATTCTAGCTATAAATAGATAATTCAGAGCACTATAGTCTTATTTAAGGGAAGAATAAATTCTTATCAATGGCATAAGTTTTGTGTGTGTGTTTTATTAAAGATTGCTCGAAATGATTATTTGGGGGAGAGAAGTGCGTACGAGCTGGCCTTAGCTCAACTTTTGAATTTTGATGGTAAATTCTTTGATTAGAGTAAAAGGGAGGCTAACTTCTCTAAATCCTGATGAAGTGAGATTCACTAGGACTACAGTGCAGGCAGCACAACTCATTGCTGTTGTTTGTGTGATTGATACACAATATACTAATTCTGCTTATTAACCGGCACGTATAAAACAATTCACACAGAACAGTGGAACACTGGTCTCATTCGTTTAAAGGAAATTGCCTTGCAGATTTTTCTAAGAAAACCTATGTTCAAGACGATTTAAATGTATTTTTTCCTTTATATATTTAAAACCTCTGACCTTACGGAAGGAAGCCAGGGAGGTATTTTTGTTTTGATTTAGGTTTTTTGGGTTTGTGTTTTGCTGACTTCCCTCCTCTCCCTCTATTCTACCCCCACAGGTGGTTTTCCAGGTGATCTCTGGCTGCTTCTGCTGAGCCGGCCGCAGTGACTGGGCTGTCACTGGGCCTTATGTGGCTGGTAGGGCTTGTGTGTGGGTTTTCAATGTATCTATTTATTCTGAGAGACCCCTGGGGCACAGAGATGGGGCTTATGGGAGGTCATGTTTCAGAGTTTCTGAAACCCTAATCCACAAACCGAAAGTAATTCCTAGACGCAAGAAGTAAATTGGTCTTTTCTTGATGCTATTTTTAACTTTATTAAATATTCACATGCTATACAGTTTAAAGTGTACAATTCAACGGTTTGTAGCATATTCATAAACAGGGGACACCATCGTCAATTTTAGAACATTTTCATCCCCTCAAAAAGAAACCCTGTACCCTTTAGCGATCATCCGCCTGTTCCCTGTCCCACTCAGCCCTGAGCAACCACTAACTTGTCTCTGTAGATTTCCTTATTCTGGACTTTCCTATGAATGGAATCACACACTGTGTGGTCTTTTGCGAATGGCTCCTTTCACTCAGCGTGTTTTCAAGGTTCATCTATATCATAGCACGTATCAGTACTTCTTTCTGATGGCTGTATTCTGTTGTGTAGCTATGCCAAATTTTATCAGTTTCTTGTTGGATGTTTGGGTTGGATCCATTTTTTGGCTATTATGAATAATGCTGATAAAATTCACATACAAGTTCATGTTTCATTTCTCTTGGGTATATACCTAGAAGTGAAATTGCTGGGTCATACAGTGCTACATTTAGTCATTCAGTAAGCTGCTGGACTGTTTTCCAAAACAGCTGTGCCGTTTTTACATTCCCACCAGCAGTGCATATGGATTCTGATTTCTCTGCATTCTCTTCAACACTTTTTTTTTTTTTTTTGAGACAGTCTCACTGTGTTGCCCAGGCTAGAGTGCCGTGGCGTCAGCCTAGCTCACAGCACCCTCAAACTCCTGGGCTCAAGTGATCCTCCTGCCTCAGCCTCCCGAGTAGCTGGGACTACAGGCATGCACCACCATGCCTGGCTAATTTTTTCTATATATTTTTAGTTGTCCCATTAATTTCTTTCTAATTTTAGTAGAGACAGGGTCTCGCTCTTGCTCAGGCTGGTCTCGAACTCCTGAGCTCAAACAATCCGCCCACCTCAGCCTCCCAGAGAGCTAGGATTACAGACGTGAGCACCGCGCCCAGCCAGCACTTATCTGACTTTTTGAAAATTTTTTTTCACCTCAATTTCTGTGGGTACATATTAGTTATACTGATTTATGGGGTACATGTGATTTTTTTTTTTTTAAGAGACAGGGTCTCACTCTGTCACCTAGACTGGAGTGCAATGGTGTGACCATAGCTCACTGCAGCCTTGAACTCTTGGGCTCAAGTGATCCTCCTGCCTCAGCCTCCCAAGTAGCTGGGACTACAGGTGCATGCCACACCCCTGTGGGTTGCCTTTTCACTTATAATTTTTGTTTTTTTACAGGTGGGGTCTCACTATTTTACCCAGGCTGGTCTCAAACTTCTGGCCTCAAGCGATCTTCCCACCTCAGCCTCCTGAATTGCTGAGAGTATAGGCAGAAGCCACTTTGCCTGGCTCTGCATGTGATATTTTAATACAAGCAAACAATGGGTGGTGATTTTTCTTTATTCAGTCACCAGGTGGGTGTGAAATGGTATCTCATTGTGGTTTTGATTTGCATTTCCCTGCTGATTAGTATTGAGCATCTTTTCATGTGCTTATTAGCCATTTCTATGTCTTTGAAAAAATGTCTATTAAGATCCTTTGACCAATTTCTAATTGTGTTATTTGTGTTTCATTGGAAGACTTCTTTATATATTCTAGATGCAAGTTTCTTATCAGATACAATTTTCAAATTTTTCTCCCATACCGTGGGTTGTCTTTTCACTTTTCATTTTATTATGAAATATACATAACATAAAAATTCATTTTAAGCACTTTTAAGTGTATAGGTCAGTGGCGTTAAGTACATTTACATTGTTGTTCAACCGGCACCACTATCTCTAGAACTTTTTCATCATCCCAATCTGAAACTCTACCCATTAAAAAATAATTTCCCATTCCCTCTTTCCCCCTGCCTCTAAGTTATATCTCTATGAATTTGATTCTTATAGGTACCTCCTATAACTGGAATCATTCAATATTTGTTTTTTTGTGTCTTATTTCACTTAGCATAACATGTTCAAGGCTCATTCATGCTGTAGTATGTATCAGAATTTCATTCCTTTTTAAGGCTGAATAATATTTCATTGTGTATATGCCACATTTGGTTCATTCGTTTCTACCTCTTACCCATTATGAATAATGCTGCTCTGAACGTTAGTGTACAAATGTTAGAATCTCCGTTTTCAGGTCTTTTGGATCTATTCCTGGAAATGATACTGCTGGATCATATGGTAATTCTTTAATTTTTTTGAGGAATACTGTTTTATACAGTGGTTGCACCATTTACATTCCTCCCGGCAATGCACAAGGATTTCAATTTTTCCACCTTTCCAACAAGTAGCCAGCACTTGTTTTCTGTTTGCTTTAAAAAACAATAATAGGCCGGGCGCGGTGGCTCACACCTGTAATCCTAGC